CATCTGCCAACTTGACGGAGTGCCCAGGAAGACAACCGTAAAAATCTGCCCATCGTGAGGCTTCAAAGGAAGCAGGGGAATTTCCCAAGTCTTGGAAGAATGCTGCCTCCCAATGCTGATTCTTCACCTGATTTCCTAGCAGAACGCCTCTTCCCTTGAATTTTCGTCCAGGATTGTCTTCTGACAGCTGGTAATTCTTTTCCACGCATATGCCATGGACCCTGGCCATGTGTACTTCCTTTTTGTTCTTCTTGGCCTCTGCAACAACATCGTCGTATTCACGAACCATTGTAAAGTCAAATACCTCTTGATCACGAAGGCCTTTCCACTCCTTGAGCATTGCCTCTTTGGCCTTTGGGTTAGACTCAATCTCGGCTCTGCCCACAGGTCGTGAAACCATTGCATTGAAAAGTTTGCTTCCAAGACCTTCTGATGATATCTTGGTTCGGTGACTTTGATTTGATGCAGAAGTACACGGCATAGTTGGGAATGGAATGTATTCATCATCATCAGTGGCTATGTTCTTCACGTTCTTGACGTTAACACATTTGCCATTTTTGATCATTGTCGACTCTCCTGGCGTAGCCATGGAAAACCTCGAAATCTCACCTGACAATGTGCTCCAAACTTCACCACTCCACGATGCTTTTGGGCCACGCCCTTTCTCGACCTCCGACCACTCATCCCATTCAGTGAGATATTCCTCGTCGTCCGGGACGTCAGTAGAAGCATCGGAACATGGACTAGCATCAGCATTCCTCTTCACTTTTCGACAATCAATGTATCGTCTTCCATGTACATCGTCATCATCGACTATGTCGTACAAATCAAGATACGTACTTGTACATGTGATAGGTAAGGTAATTTTGTTCTTCACAACTTCACCAACACCTGTATCGGATTTCTTTGACTTTGAATGAGAGTCATCCTTCTTACTTTCATCACCACCCTCATCGTCCTTGGACTTTGGCTCGTCCTTGTCTTTCTTTGAATCTTTCTTCTCCTTCTTCGTTGCCTTCTTCTTCTTTTCTTCGACCAATCTTTTGGCTTTGTCATCGGCCTCTTTCTTCTCCAACTTCTTCTTCTCGGCTTTGAGGATGGTATTCCGGTCAGATTGAGAGAGTTTGCGCCATTCTTCAGGAGAATAGGTCCCTTTGGGACGCAATGACGTTCTGAACATTCGTCTACCGTCATCTCCAATCTTGTATGGGTAACCCTTGACGTTCAACTTGACCTTCTCACCATCGTCATTGAGGTATACCTTCCCATCTCCAGCTTTGCCCTTCTTCCAATGGTCTGGTTGGGCGTCGATCAATTCCTGGAGGGTCATCTCTTCTGGATCTTTGTCTTTGTCGAAGATATCCTCAGGGTCACCAAGAGGCTTCTTTGAGACTTTTCCACCACTTGGTCCAGGTCCACCGTCGTCTCCGTCATCAAGCTCATCATCATCTTCATCTTGGTCATGTTCTTCGTCATCTCCATGAGGCACTTTGGAGGGATCGCCATCGAGGATTTCTCTTTCTTTCATTCCTTCCAATGTGGTGTTCACCCTCTCATATTCCTGCTTGCATGGAAATGTCAATGGAGTGACCATCTCGACCTTTTCAGTCAAATGAGGTTTGAGAAGACGGTGTTCAGGTTTGCTAGCATCGTCACCAAGATTTTGATGTACGAATTCACTTAGAGGCCATACTTTGTATTGTCTTGACCAATGCATCCCTGGACCAATGTGATACCCTGCAAACACTCCTGGAATAGAATCAGGCCCAAACTTGTGAAGTTGTCCCGCTTCTCTGGTCTTCGGAGGCTTGTAGTTCACACGAGCACCATAGGGAATGAGTTTGCCAGCAAATTCAGATCCATGGAGTTTGCACCAAGCGCTCAATTCATCATCGTTGGGTTCCACGTTGAGTAGATGACATACACAAAGGATTGCTGTTCTCCAGAAACAAGGTGGTAATCCAGCTTCCAAAAGGCATGTAGAAGTAGCTGTGAGAATAAATTGGTTCGTCCTTTCGGCAATTGAGTTGGTTTGAGGTCTTCCAGGCAACGAATGATCAATTGGTATCTTCATCTCATTCATAGCTTCAATGAATTGAGGAGCATGATCAGAGTAGGCCTGTCTGACCTTCTTGGCGCCGATGAACTGTTTCACTGCTCTGACTACATCATCTTTGGTCATTCGATCAGATGGATAAGCACCAATGATTCCTGTATAACAGTCTCTGACAACCAACACTTCCTTCTCGAGGACCAACACGTCATCATGGACTTTGGATGTGTCCACCGCATCAAAGGTAATGAGGTCGCCAAACTTCTTGAGTTCCCTCTTGTATGCACCACGACGAGTCTTGAAGTGCTTCATCTTTGCTCGAATGCATGAGTCGCAATGTGGATTCTTGTATCTGGCCAGTTGATGCATCTCGGTCAAATGGCTTTCGGGAATGGAATAGTCAGTCGCACCTTTGATCACGAGTCTTCTGTCGTTCAACATCTTGATGGACTTACCTGCATCCCTGTGAGCACGCTCAAGAGAGTCCTTTTGGGCCTCAAGTTCAGTATGAAGGCGAGCAATAGCTGTATCCCTGTCATTGAGTTCATTGTGCAAACTGTCAAACAAGGTACTCGTCACATTCGGATTGTTGCTCACGTGATCGATCTTGTTCAGAGCATCTTGATATTTCTTACCAGTTTCATCAAAGTTTCGCTGGAAGACTTTGAGCAGGTCCTCAGTGTCAATGAGTTCAGATCTATTCTGCAAGTACAACTTGTCAACTTCGGCCTTGGATTCTTTCAAGCTGTCACGTTCACGCACGGCTTGCATGTACATCTCGTATAGAGGTCCTCCATGCGGTGATCTGCTTGGTGAAGATCTTCTGGCTTGTTGACAGGAAAGTTCATGATACTGATTCTTCGATTCAGTCAGTTGCTGTTGCATTCGATCTAAAAGACTTTGTTTCATGTGTAGTTCAGAACGTAGTCCCATTATCCTCATGTCCCGCATGCCACCTGATTCAGCTAGAGATTCTTCAGAAACCCTGTTCTCAGAAATCGCTAGTCGAGATTGTAAGTTCTCACTGTGGATCACCTGTAATCGAAGCTGTGATTCTTCCAAAGCTAAGTGATGTTCACATTCTGCATAACGGTCATGTTCAGATCTTATGTTACTACGGAACTCCTTCATGATCTCGTCCCTCTTCATGTCAGCAGCATCTAACTCAGTTTCCAGTCGCCTGACATTCATGGCCATGGTGTGCTTCATCGTCTGGTTCTGATTGGCAACCTCGAGCATCTCGATCTGCAAAGCACATGTTTGGTCATTAGCATAGCCGACTGCTAGAGCTTCTTGCTTGGCATTCATCTCTGCGTTTTCCAGTTCCAGTCTGAGTTGATTGATGTGAGCATTCGCGTCAGTTCCCACATGTACCATAATTGCGTTTGCTTGTCCCATTTGTTCATCGAATTCCGAACGTAGTCGTGAATATTTGAACTCCAAATGAGATGCGGCTTCATTCGACATAGTCTGATATCTTTCCAACTCTTCGATCCTGTAGGTCGCACCTTCATCTTCCTGTTGTGCAGCCTGTAACTCGAAGTTCAGCATCTGGAGTTGTTCGGTCATCGACATCATCTCTTGATGAGTGGTGCTTTCCAGGAAATTAAATTGTTGATAGGCATATGCTGTCGTCTCGCTCAATCTTGCCTGAAGTACGGATTCTTCTTCAGTGGCCCTCTCCAGTGATGTCTTGTATTCTGCTAACTCACTCTGATAGGCAGTGAAGATGTCGCTACCACTTGACGGGGCGTTCACTTGCTGATAAGATCCTGTCCCTGATGGAGTAGCGTCCTGAATCGGTGAAGGCGGATTCGACGACGTAGTCTTTGCCTTAGTCCTTGGAGTCATCGGAGGCGACAATTGTCGTGCAGATGATCTTCTCTTTCCAGGTGTGCTGTCCCTATCTTCAATTGCTTGCATTGTCGAAATTTGTCTCCCTCTAGGAGCAACCAGATGTCGCCTGGGTTGGCTTGTTCTCAGTTCTGAGGCATCGCTTCCACCAGTGTCGATACTCTGTGAAGAATTTGACTGCGTGCCGGCAGCTGGTGCAACGGCATGTCCAGAGAAAGAAAATGCATTATCGCTGCTATCCTGTTCAGTCATCTGTAAGGCCCGCGGCTCCCCGCTCGTAGGCTCCGTAGGAGTCCTACGGCTGATAACCTGCGAACCGGGGATTGCTTACCCGATTATGTTCCAGTGGTTGTGTTTGCAATGAATGCTCCAATGATGACGTTACACGGGCAACAGCTTCCGCATGGCAGTTCTTTGTTCTGGTGCTGCAGTGGGTCTTGAGCCAAAGAGGCCAGTTTGAAGTGCCCCTTTGGTACTGGATCCTAGAGTGTCGAATTATGTGATAATATACAATGGTCCGTAGCCTACACTCTATTCGCATACCCTGTGGTTATTTAACATAGCCATGGAAAATGGCCCATTTATGGATGATTTTCCCAGCTATAAACCTCCATTTATTTTGGGGATATTCCATGGCTATGTTAGTCATAACCAGAGGGTATATCACCAACGTTTAGTGTCCATCCTTCCCTCATCCAGCCTTGTTGGGGTAGGTCTTGTTTCTTGCGGTAGCCGCTGGGACCGGGACCACACGCTTCGACCGGGCCTGGCAGATGGGTTACCCTCTGGGAATGACCCAGAGTTTCCTGGAAAACCACCAGTTGGAAAAGGAAACCCCACCAGTTGGAAAGCTCGTTTTCCTAGGAAAACGATGGGTTTTCTAGCTACGGTACAGTAGTTTACCCTGGGGCGAATCATCTTTACCAAAGGCTACTTACCAGTTTATGATTGGCAGGCTTCTGGTGGTTTTTTGAGACCCAGCCAGTGACTGGAGTAAGCATGGATATGTAGCCACCTCTTATACCGAAAAATCGACTTAAGACAGAGGAATCAGGATCAATAACTAGAAATAACTAGAATTCAATACCCATAACTACCAAGCCGTTTTGAGCCCGGCCAACAAAGCCTCTCTTTTCAACATGGCTTCCCAACTCCCAGTTCCGACCTGATCGATCGCCAAAGCCTGTTCGAGCTGGAAGTTCTGGATATGAATCTGTTCCCCCCGCAGCTAGCTACACTCTGGTAATTTATAGTGGAATTTCCCATGAAAAATGGTGATTTTACATAGTTATGTTAGATACTGTTAGTTTACCATAGGGTATTATTATTGACTAGAAGAATTACCCATCCCATTTATATTAGATATATCATATCTGGCTGGAACACCAGATTGCTTCGCCTGTTGGCAGTCGCCATGCCACATCACCTTGCAATCCCTGCAGGCATTCCTCAGAGTTCCAGTCACTGGTCCGGGTGTGCAGGAAACATCTGGACAAAACTCATCTGTTCTCAAAAAAACCTTCTCAATAACATGGCTGCTTTAACCCCCAAGCTCTTTGATCTTTCTTGGAGGATACTCCAATTTTCAGGGGAAGAAGTTGGGAAGATTGTAACATCGTTGTCCAATCATCTCCAAGTGGCACATGAAGAGCGCGAGAGATGTGTCGTCGGCAAAGCTGACAAGCGTAGTTGCACTCCTTGGAGATTTAAGCAACATGAACTGAGTCCATTTCATCAACCTCCAAAAAAGGGACAAACCATTCAGAATCATCCAGATATAGGCCCTGTCTGCGTGTGACTGACATGATCATTTATAACACAAACGGGTCTCAGCGGTTCTAAGAATCTTCGTCCATTTGTTGAGTGTTTCAGGTGTTGACAACCTCAACTGTCAAATATTTCAAGCACTTTCCAAACATGATTCCAATGTCCAAAGCTTTTTTCAGGTTCGCATCAACAAATGGTTCCAAATTTCACCAAGACACATTCCGCTTGCGACCCCAGCCCTCGTGTTGCGAAGCAATTGTGACCTGAGGCTGAATCCTGGGGATGTAAGGGATTTTCATGGGGAATATAACTTTATATAACCAACAAATGGAGATTATGGCTGATTTTTCATGCTATCCCATCAGAATCCCAAGGAAGTGGGGAAAGAAAAACCGAAAAAAACGGGTGCCCCAAAGACGTGAAATCGTGAAGTGTTTTCCTAGGCACAAGCTCAGGCCATTGGCCCAAATCACAATGATCACAGAGCAGTACGGCCATGAATTAGCCACAACAAGACATCAAAATCAGCCACGAAATCCCTTCCTTCTCAATTTTTGAGGCACCCCAGTTATTGCAATTCATGAATAGATCCAGTACTAAACCACGATTTCGACTGGGACTCGAATATTATGGAGAGAGGGAATTGATCCCCAAGAACCAGGTTTCAAGGAGGAATTACCCACCAATTTCAGGGGGGGCATTGAATTGCAAAATCTATCAATAACCAGTTGTAATGGGTTGATAGTTGCTTGCAATAAGCGATTACCCACTTACTAATTACCAAATCAAGTACTTTGATTGGTGATAGTGATGTTTAGGTTGATTGAATAACCAATAGATGGTGATAGTTGAAATAAGTTGGATGTTACGAATATATAACTCCAATTATTAATTGGGGTTGATGGTTAATATATCAAACTAGTTCATAGGGGTTGTAAACCAACCAACATATGGTTAAATCATGTTAAATCCCATTTCATAAGTTTCTTCTTGATAAAGACTCATTAAATGGCTTAAATTATCCTATGCCCATTGTCCCCCCCAGTTTCTCTAACCACTCGATTGAAGCATCGAATACATTAGATCAACCATAGTTTGGATATATCTACCATAATCATCCATAATCCACCATTGTATCCCATCAATGCCCATGTATATCACAAATATTCCCATTAAAATGGTGATTGTGGGGATTTGTCATTGGATTTACCACATTATCTCCACAAAGTAAACCCAATCATGAAGCATTGTTTTTTTTATGCCCAGACCCTATTATTTTTTTGGGTTTCCCACATTAGATCCCATTTATCTCATAAATCTTCCCATTTACATCCCACTGATGTCTCATTCTGGTTGGTGGTTGACCTACCCCTCTGAAAAATATGAGTCAGTTGGGATGATGACATTCCCAACTGAATGGGAAAATAAAATTCATGTTCCAAACCACCAACCAGCATTTATATAGATCTACCATCATATTACCATTCTGACTACCGATGGTAGGCAAGCTCTGGAGGAGCCCAAATAGTTCTGTTGACTTTCAATCTGTGATTTTTCTACCGATGACAGTCATCATATGACCACAGTCTATCCATCATCCAATTGATATCCCATTTCTACCAGCATCTACCATCTACCATCCTATGACCACAGTCTATCCACCATCAAGTCACATTCCAAAGCATTCGGTCTTCGCGGTGACAGCCAGGGCATGGCGATGGCGCAATGGGCAGTTTCTTAGGCTGGCGCGCCCGCGAGGCCTGAGGGACTTGGGCGGACGCTGGGCCAAGTAATCAAGGGAAATCCCCGAACGAAATGGAAGTTTTCATGGGAAAATCATAGGAAAATCATGGGAAAAACCACAAGTGGAGGTGCTCATAGGAAAATCATGGGAACCCCATGGGAAAAAAACACTACCAATGGAGGTTTTCATAATAGGAAAATCATGGGAAAAAAACAACCACACATGGAAGTTTTCCTAGGAAAATCAAAGGAAAATCATGGGAAAATATCGAACACACCACTATAAATATTATACATGGGGGTGTTCAGAGGAAAATCATAGGAGAATATGGGAAAAAGGGAAAATCATGGAACTAAATGGCGATTTTTTCAGCAAAAACACGTTTGGAGGTATCATGAAATATGATAATTATGATGCACTATGATATGATTTGGTATAATGCGATATTGGCTCTCGATGGTTCATCAAATTCGTGTAATCTAATGTCACCAGGGAAACATCCGATGAACTAACCATATATATATATTAACATTATATTTATTAGTTATATTAACCATATATATTAACCATTCATGTATTCATAGTAACCAGTCATTTATTTTGGTCCAATGATCACCATAAAGGATGATCCCTTCCACCCGCCCTTTGCCACGCTTTCTTCGCCGGGCCGCTGCGAAGGGTGCGGGAAGTCCTTTCAACTTGGCCTGGAAGCGACTGGACTCTTCCTGCAAGGCACGCTTAAGTCGGACCCGGACCCGGTAGGACCCGGTAGAATGGTACATGGAAGCTGAGGGATAGAGTCCTGCAAACCTGGAAAGGTAACAAAAGAGATTGAGTCGTTTTGTATATTTAGCCAATTTAGCCCTAGTTCTGCAGATCCAAATCCTGAGACACCATGGCATATGGCATCATGCATTGCATTCTGCAGATATTTCCCTGCAGTATAGCTTGAATGACTGGCCCCCACAGCGCCTTGTTCAGTTGTAAGGCTTTGGCGATGTCTGCAGCGTTCCTTGGCCATCCGGTCACTTTGAAGTGAACCAACTGAGGACTAACCATGATGATCATCCCAGTTGTATCCCAATCCCCTAGTGAACTCCCCATCGAACTGCTATCTCTTCACCGCCACAGTTTTCAGCCCAAGCGACCCAGTGACTTCCTCAAGAAAGGCGGCACCCTCTTCCTGCGAACCCCTCTCTGGTTCACCCCCAGAACCATCCATTTTTCGGAGAAGTCACCTCTGGGGTTGGTGGAATCCCCATAGACGATCATAGATGATCCCAATCTGAGGGATGTCTACCTTGCAAACAATGAACATAATGAACCGCCCAAGCGTTGGATCTTGCTGCAAGCAGAGGATTCGACTTGTCGAGCACAACAGATTTTTTTCTCCGGGGATGAGGATGAAATTCTGGCACATCGCTTCATATTCAAAACACATCACAACACATGGAGGTTTCCTAAAATGAGGCTACCCCCCAATCATCCCATTTTTGTTAAAATAGGATTTTCCTTGATAAACCAGCTCTTACCCCTATGGAACCAGACAGTTCATAGTACACTCGACTGAAACTGCAGGGCTCCTCGGCCCATGCCTCAATCCCCACTTTCAGGTGAAGAAGACCAGTTTTCTCCAGCCAGTCTCGAAGACCCTTCACCACTTCCTCTTCCACAGGCTCCACCTATGGCTATGTCATGCTGCTCTCAAAACTAAGGGGTACACATAGAATTAAAACAACATGTGGTTAAGATGAACCAATCACCTGGTGATTAAGAATGTTGGCAGTCATTGTTGTCATTGAATTCTAAGAACATACATGAGTCTCTTTACCACAAGTCGGCCATTCCTGGAGGGATTCACCCCTTTCCCAAGTGGTCTCCACATTTTTGCCATATCCATTCACAATCTGAAATGAAAACCCTACCAAAAAATGGCACGTTCTCCTGGGAATTCCCCGGAACAGTCTAAAAAAACCCGGCCTTTATCTGTCATCTCGTGGAAATTCGGGAGTCCAAGAACCATCTCCCAAAAATCTCCAATCAAATTGTGGCTTTTCCAAAATCAGTCGATTTTGAAACACCATCAGATGTCATAAATCCCAGGGTTTTCCCAAGAATCTCCATATCATCCATTGGAATCCGGTCCGGTGTTCCCAAATTTCCCAAACGGTCCACCTTTGGCATCACCGGTACCAGTTGTGGCTGCAGGATGACCTCCCTCGAAAAGGCTCCTGCGGAAAACGATGATCATTTGAATTATTATTGGTGATTATTAATGGATTACTAATGGATTATAAATGGATTATTAATGGATTACTAACGGATTATTAATGGATTACTAATGGATTACTAACGGATTATTAATGGATTACTAATGGATTATTAATGGATTATTAATGGATTACTAACGGATTATTAATGGATTACTAATGGATTATTAATGGATTATTAATGGATTACTAACGGATTATTAATGGATTACTAATGGATTATTAATGGATTACTAATGGATCATTATTGGTGGTTATTAATGGAGTATTAATGGATTATTAATGGATTACTAATGGAGTATGATTTTAACATTAATGATTATTAGTGGATGATTAGTGGCTTATATAATGGATTATTAATGGTTATGGATGAATTTATGAATGGATCATATAATATCCTCTTCAAAATGATGAAAATGATGTTCTGTTTGAGAGTTTGTCCATGACAATCCACCAACACTTGCGGGAGTAGATTTCTGGAGTCGATACTTAGACTCAGTTCTGAACTATGTAGCTTGACTAGGGGTCATGGAAATGTATGAAATGTATCTGTAGTTTTGATATGTTTCGATATGTTTTCATGGGGTTATTTTTGGAGAATACAACCCTGTAAAAGCCAAAAAAATCTACAGGATCTTTTTTACCTTGGATTTTCCCTGGGATTTTCATGGCGTCTCGTCCCACCAGACCACTGCCATCCTGGTGGAACCATTGGACCAATGGCACACAAGTGGCCTTGTGGCCTTGCTGAAACTTGTCTTGGATATCTTGGATTGAGCTACACACTTTATGAATCTTTATGATGTTTACCCAGCTGCAACAGTTGCAATAGTTCTTTGGAAAACCAAGCATCTTTTAAAAAAAATGAACCAACGAGATCCTTAAGGAGATCCCAACAAGCCAACACGGCCTTGCTGTGCACTGACGGATCGAGCGGCGGGCCGGAAGAGAAAAGTCCTGCAACGGATCCAAGTTGCTTGAGATCTTCACCGAAGCCGTTATCTATCATTTATTACAGTTATAAAGATTTTAAAAAAAAAATGAAGGAACTAAAGGAACCAAATTGATGCCTCAAATAACTTAAAATCATATACCCAACATGGATTTCAACTCCACAAAGGAGACTTGAAGCCCAACATGAGCTGAAACTCCCTGCACTGCCACGAACACGTCTTCAGCCTGAGCTTCGCACATGGGTCCAGTATGAGCCACCGGTGCTGTGCAGGTGCGGTGGAGCATCATAGGCCTGTGGGGTCCAGGGACAGGGGTAGGATAGGACCTGGGTCAACCAGGATTTATCTCCGTTGAAACATGAAAAAAACATCAAAACAATGTCTATTGAATCGATTGAAAGTGTTGCAGGGACTGCATCCATATATCTCTTTGGTCCAAAGATGTCCACATGGTGCAAAATGTGTCTGGAAGCTGACCATACTGACCATACTGCGCCTGGTCTGTGTGCAAATCATGGCTCTCGGACACGTTCAGAACGGTTTTTCAGCTTCGGTGAAGATTCGGACAGTGGCAAGCTCTTTTTTTCCTGCGGTAATTGGGCTGCTGGTGGTATATGTGCGTTTCTGTGTGTTTGAGCTTATGGCTTGTTTGAAATGTTTGAGCCAGAATTTGGCGGCGTTTTGCCAAATTGATGCGATGCTTATCGTTGGCAAACTTCTTAGAGACATGCAGGAAAATACACATTGAGAATGTTACCCTCCGGTAAAAAAAAAACATTGCTATTGAACATCCCCATGTTCAAAGGAATGTCATTCATCTAAACTTACATGTTGTTCCTATTCCATAAGTATATCTAGGAAACAGCTACCATATGTTTATCCTATCTGTATATACATATACATTTATATTCCTTAATCTGTGTCCATTCCCATTGTCAGATTCTAATCCTCAGGATGTCCATCAGCAAACCTCACGAGGCGCTGACGTAATGTGGTCCAAGAGGGAGCAGTAGACCTTGACATTCTCAGCCAATTTCTCCAAAAGCCACCTGGATCACATGGTATCAACTGGGCTGGTCAAGCCCTGGTTTTATGGGGAAAATCCCATAGATTTGGGTAAATAATTTTGGGTGATTTTGGGATGATTCCCTGTAACCATGATTCACTGGTGAGCTTGCAGTGAGGTTTTTTGTTGATTTATTCAGATGGATGGTCATCCAAATCTGGAGGTTTTCTCAAATGGTACCCCTAAATCATCAATCTTCATGGGATCTTTATGGATGTAAACCATGAAATTTTCAACATCCAAAATATGTTTGGGTACCCCCATGGCTATGGAAACCCAAAGATATCATTGTTGGTTTCAGACTGCTTTCAAAGGTATTGACATCTGCCCCATATCCACATGTGTCATTCGCACATCGGGGATGACCTGGAAACCCATCGTCAGAAACCACTTCAGCTATACCAATTTTGGGCGAACCCCCACACCGCCTGGTCACAACGTCTGAAAACTCCAGTGGCTGGTCTCAAAATTTCTAAAGATAACTACAGCTCGGTTTCCCATAATTTCACATATATGTTGTGTATATATATATATATTCATATGTAGTGTATGTATGATGTGTATATATATATATATATATGATCTATATATACATATACATATGATGTACATATATATATATATATATATGATGTGTATATGTATGTATATATATATGATGTGTATGTGTATATGTGTATATATATATGATGTGTATGTATATATATATATGATGTGTATGTGTATATATATATGATGTGTATGTATATATATATATATGATGTGTATGTATATATATATATGATGTGTATATGTATATTATATATATATATATATTATGTATATATATATGTATATATATGTATATATATATATTATGTATATATATATGTATATATATATATATATGTATATATATATATGATATATCTACATATGATATCTATATTATATATATATTATATGTATATAAATATAATATATATATATGATATATCTACATATGATATATATATATATATGATTCATATATGATATATCTATGTATGATATAATATATATGTTATATATGTCATGTGACTCATGGTCAGATGTTCCGAGGCCCCAGGCTCATTGACTGGCTTGGAGGCATTGATGTGTCCTGCCCCACTGCGATATGATTTTTTGGTTTCAGATGTCATAATACGCTTATAATATGTAATCAGTGACTATAGTGTTTGATCCTTTTTTGACCGACTTCACGGAAAATTGGAGACGTGATCTCCATCTTCTACTTTGCTGACTGTTGCAGTGCTCTGGCGGTCTGGACATTCTGTTGGGATGTACTGCCAAGTAGAAACTGAGGCTTTGAAGCAAAGCCGCTAACCCAGGGGTTTACTTTGCGGATGTCTATACCAATTTGTAGCAAAATCTCACAGATTATCAGAAATGACATGACTACTTGGGGTACCCCAGAGACACAGAAAAATCGGGGCTCCTGTTGCAAAATCTTCCATGTTTCGATCGGAAAACTCCACCATGGTCGCCCTGTCGAGCTGGAATCACCACCATGGAATCAGCGTGGCAAATCACTTCAAATCGCCCACTCCATGACCTATTTGAATCGTTGAAATGTGAAAATTCATTGAGATGATGGATTTTCAACAACATCGCCCTACTTTGAGACTCACAAAAAAAAGGCAGTTCCAACATATGTTCCACACAAATCCCATGGATTTTTGAAGGTCGCCCTCCTTTTTCCCTGCCGAAGCAGCGTCGAAACCGGCCGCTCTTTGGCGAACATGATGCCACGGTCAACAAATGGACCAGCTGCCCCAGATGGCCATAACATTGGGATGAGAGAAAGGACCACTCCCAAATCTCCATATGATAAAAAACCATGATAAACCCAGAAAATCTCTTGATTCATGGCTATATCAGGCTATTAATCTATACCCTCTGGTAAATATACAAAAAGCGAACTGGAAAATGGCCATTGACCTAGTTGAGTTACCCATTGAAAATGGTGATTTTCCATAGTTATGTTAGTTTGCCAAAGGGTATCCGAAATCGGTTCCATTTAATGTAGACTCTGTAGCCGTAGCCATTGGTACCATCTGCGCAGCTAGAGTTCCTCTGGCTTCAGAAGGCCGCCGGTATCATCGTCATCTTCACACTTCCTGGGGGGCAAGTTGCCGGAGAAATCAAAAGGTCAAAACCCTCTATGGAGGCTTTTTGTTTGTGTTTTAATGGGAACATATATGGGTTTTTATCATCTAATGGTCTGGATTTTCCAGCCACCTTTCATGACACCAGAGGGTATTGGTCTTGAGTTTTGGGGTGGTAAACTGATCCTCAAAATGATTGGCATCTCGAAGTCTTTAAGCCGTTTTGGCGCCACCTTCTCGAAGGAGCTGTATTTGATGTTCACATAGAACTATCCACCTAAAAAACACTAAAAAGAAAGAAAAAACATGTTTTTCTCTCACTTTTTCAACCAAACATACGGACCATCAATAGGTCCCCCGAAGCGTAAAACAGGCACCCTTCACCCACCATCCACTCTCCAAGCTACCGGATCAACTCGCCCAGATCGGGGTGCTGCAACATCACCCAACCGTCCACTTCGCCGGAGGTTAAGACCACCTGCACCGCTCTGCGGTCTTCGGCGTCGGAAATGTTGTACCCAATATCCTCCGACTTTTCAGGAATGTCAATGTCAAAGACTTGGTTGGAACCAATATGTGAAGTATCAGAAGTTCATGTCAACATTTCTATAGAAGGATTTCGGAAAAAAAAAAACACCGCGTTCTTTTCTCTAAATCGACCCCGATGCTCTCCGGCCTTCAACCTGCCCCAGTTGCCAGTCTCATCAAAGTCCAACAGACGAAAGCGGTCGCTCTTCATGCCTGGCTCCATCCCGAGCCGGGTAGCGGTTGACGACGCCGAAAAAAGAACTGCTATGGGATGGATGTAATCGGAGAACATCATGCTGATCTTTATTCTGGTTGGTGGTTTCAACCTACCCTCTGAAAAAGATGATTTCGTCAGTTGGGATGATGACATTCCCAACTGAATGGAAAAATCATCCATAAAATTCATGTTCCAAACCACCAACCAGTGATTGTTAACCATTATTAACCATCATTAACCATCATTAACCATCACTATGCCATACTAAACCAATGTTCCAGTCAGCACCAACCAGTATTGACTTAGTCGTCGTCGTCACCATGAGAAGAACAATCTTGGGCAGCGACTCAATGGAAACATATGGAAACCTGTGGCATGGTCAGTGTATTCTGCCACCTGTGTTACAGTATCTTACTGTTCATATCATAGATGGATGGAACCAATCTGTTTAGATTTTGATACGCAATACTATTTGGATTATAGTGAGCACCAGAAAGACAAGAAACATGTAAAATCCCACTAAAATTGTGAGATTGATCATAAAAATCGATCTGAATTTCGGGTCTTCTATAGTGAGTTTTCACCGACATCCACTTGTCCAATAGCAACCGCGACGTCCGCCAAGCAACGTTTGGTCAATTTCTCGCTCTTGGAATCTGGCAACTGTCGGATCCAGATGGCTTGGTACGCGACTTCCTGGGAGGGTACCAAAAATAGAATGACTGATCAATACATCCCAAACAATGCCGCGTTTTGATATTTCAATACATGGAATTTCAATACATGAATCCGTTCTTTACATTCCATCCATTCTTTAGAATGTCAATGCATCTGTTGAAAACGGGTGTTGTTGTTTCATCCGGAAAAAAACATTGTCATAAAGTGAGATGTTCTAGATAGCCAGAGGTTTGGTGTTCAACGAACAATTGGAAAAACATGTTCATAAACATTCATGTTTTCCATAGTGTACCGAAAAGCCACAAACCTCCAAGTGTGAGCATTTACATCACAAGCTGCTACACCTCATTGTTCTGGCTGGTAATATCAACCCGGGAAGAATGTGAGAGGCAAATGGGGGCTCAATTTCCCCCAACGGGTGTTTTCCAAAATTGAAAATATAGTTGAAACATGGGGGTTTGCATAAATGGGGGGACACTCAAAAATGGATGGTTTTTTTGGAAAATCGGAAAATCCTATAGAAATGGATGATCTCCATTTTAGGAAACCTCCACATGTTGATTTCATCCAACAGTTTCCACCATCAACCGCTGGCCAGGAGCGTAGAGCACCCCGGGCGCTTCAGTCACTGGCTCCGCTTCCTTGCCCTGGGACTTACCCTCTGGTAAACGTTAACAAAAAACTATGGAAAATCACCATTTTTCATGGGAAAATCCACTATTTCAATGGCCATTTTCCAGTTCGCTTTTTGTATGTTTACCAGAGGGTATCAGGCTCGGAATAGTCCCAATCATCCCAATCCATCTTCAGTTTCCACCTTTCGGATGATCCCCCAAAGTCTCCGTCTCTCCGAAGCTGCCATCATTGGATGATCAGCCGGCAACCGGCAGCTTCTTGGGGGATCCACCCAAAATTGGACACATGGCAAGTTACTACCGGTGCTCCGAAAGCGACCTAGATATGGTGCTATCATGTGCTATCACTGTAAATCTCGTTGCAAATAAATTAAATAATCATCCCTCCCTCCAGGGCGCAAACTAAGAGAAACACGATATTTTTTTACTAAGATGCCCTCTGGTAAACCAACATAACTATGGAAAATCATCATTTTTAATAGGTAAACCATCTATAAATGGCCATTTTCAATAGCAAACCGTTAAATAACCAGAGGGTAAGTCGATTGGTGTTCTGGAAACCCCCAAAAAATGCCCATGGCTTTTTTCATGACCATGATTTGATCCAGCCTCAGCCGCCCGGTTCAAGGGAGAGTCGGGAGGCGCTTCTGTGGCGACCTCCTGGCTGCTTATAACAAGCATGATATCCCATAAATCTTCCCATTTACATCCCACTGATGTCCCATTCTGGTTGGTGGTTGACCTACCCCTCTGAAAAATATGAGTCAGTTGGGATCATTATTCCCAATATATGGAAATATAAATGTTGATGATTTTAAAATGGTGATTTTCCATGGCTATGTGAAATAACCTCCATGGCAAACTGTTAGTCATAACCAGAGGGTAACATCGTTCGTCTTTCCGTCGGCGCCTCTAGGCCGGCCTTGTCCATGGCATCCACCAGCTCGGCTTTGCTCATGCCTCGATACAACGAAAGTATCCTTATCATTAATTGTCATCATTACCTCTCATTTTCAAAATTTTCAAATGTCCTTCAAGATATGAAATGATATATCAATATATATTATGTATATTTAATATAGTGATATGGAAGATTATCATGATTTTCCTTCATGAAATGGATGTCTCTTCAAAACCTGAAGAACTTTCCCACCTCGTCCGGGCTCGCGCCGTGCCAGCATCGCCTCTGCCATAGAGCGCTCGCGACCCTCCAGGCGGTTCAACATGAGCCTGAGAACGCCGCTGTGGAGATACGGTGGGTGGAAGAAATCCTACACCACCAAACGGATGGTTGAAAGCCTATAAAAAATGGGATGTTTACCACCGTTTTCAACTGGTGCAGGATTTCGCTGGCCCATCCACAGTACCTCAAAAATGGATATAAAATGATATAAATTGGAATTTCAATCCAAAAAAAACCGTGGATTGCGTGAGAAAATACTGCTTCTTTAACGGATGAATCGCAATTGAACCAATAAAATCAATCAGTTGGTCCCAAAAAATGGGATTTAACCACCAAATGCGGATTTCACAATATTGACATGATTTAACCCAGTAATATACCAGATGGCCCCAATTTCATGGCTTTTTTTCCAGAGAAAAGGGTGAGATGGCGTGAAACTCTACGGTACTCTATTTTCAACCACAGCTAGGGAGCGGGGCGGCCCTTGACCAGTCTCCATGCTGTCACCATGCCATGTCTATTCCTGGCCACAAACATCCAACTCGTAGCGTCAAAAATCCACTCGTAGTCCATTAAATCCAATTAAACATCTGTTCATATCATATCCCAATTGGATTATCTGTCAATATATCCCATTAATATCATATCCCATCCCAATTTTATCAGTGCCAAGTCACTGTAGAGCAGATGGATTGGCTTTACCTCCAGCCATGGCCTCAGGTGGCCCCATGCCAGCCAGCCCTCGCTGTTGATTCATGAATTCAACCAAATGTTTGTAAAAACAAGTATTGGTTCATGAGCCATCATGAACCCATGTTTATCCATGTTTGATGTTTTTGTTGGTGTTGCAGTTCCATGGTCCATTCCAACAATTACTTCCTCCAAGTATACTTCAGGCTCCCCATGTGGTTGAGGCGGATATCAGTTGCCAAAGGTTGTAGCAAAGTCCAAGGCTAGCACTGTCAGGAGCGCTGCAGCCATCACGTCCAGTTCCACACCCCTGGCACGTGAGTTGTTCCAGGATGTGAAAAATGATGGAAAAATGAGAGGTGATTTCTGAAACGCGATCTCCAGAGATGAAATATATTTCTATATCTAAAAAAGAAGGGATGGCTACATTGAAGTTGAGTTCTTTGTGCATATGCTCACAGTATTACATAGTATTACTCCCTTTCTTGCCCCATCTTCCACATGTCTCCGGGCTCAAAAATTGTAGTCCAATATGTCCATGTCATGTGCACCGCCACCGTAAAATCATTGCTGGAAAATCGGCCATAGCTCGATGAGGAGTTCCCAGCAATGCTGGATGATCATCCCAACCTGCGTTCGCATTCTTCCAGAGCCTCTCGAGCATCTGCGCCGGCCTGAGGATAGGCATCAGGCATCCCCAAAAATTTGTGCACTAATTAGTCATGGTCCTGGGATGAGGAAATTCAGAAAATTCCCCGGATCCATGATTTTCCTACAATTTCGTGGATGTTGAACCCTTCAGCCCTACCTCCCAACCTTGGTCTTTCCACACAACACATCTGGTCTCACCCCCCAGGTGCGCAACCTCCAACAGGTGTACCGCACATGGCAGGTGGTTGTAGCAAGCGCTCAGCACCAAAGGACGACGCCCCTGGCAGTCCACCACCGTCACCTGAGTGTCCTGCAGGAAGCACCTGGATGTGGAGCTGAGAACGCTTGGCATGTCGAGTGAAATCCACCCTAGTCACCCCTTGTATGGTTTTGTATATACAAAAACCATCAAAAACCTGGATACTCTTGAATCTTCATCCTTTGCAAATTCGCCATTTTTTGGGGCCACCCCAACCCCCCAACATCCCCAACATCCGCCTCAGATCCTCCAGGCGCCCCTCCGCCGCCGCATCGCACAGCGCTGGCCCCGGACGCCAGGCGCCGGACTCGGCGCCGGACTCGGCGCCGTCGGCGAAGCGCTGGGGCCGCGCCAGAGGGCCGAGCTGTGGATGTTCCAGCAGCAACCAGCCCTGCAACATGGTCCTGGATGGGTGGATTGGACATCAGCAAAAAAGCGAAGAAATTGGTGATGGGTTGAGTTTGATCTTTGGATTTCAGCTATTTTGGTTGGAGAGGATGGGGGTTCCGTTTTTTCGAAACGTTGTTGGGGGGGGTGATGTTGATTTAAAAAAATGGGAGGGTGTTTTTAAAAAGGGGGTAGATGAGGACTCTGGATTTTTTCAATCAATAGATCTCAGTTGGTGTTGAAATCATCCATCAAACATCAACATCGATCTACTCTGGTTGGTGGTAAACCTTCCCCTCTGAAAAATATTAGTCAGTTGGGATTATTATTCCCAATATATGGAAAAATAAAAAATGCTCCAAACCACCAACAAGCTATACTATGGAATATTGGTGAATGACAAAGCTCCCAGACATTCCCAGACTCTTTGTGAAGGGAAGATTGAAACCGGACTCCCCAACATTTGAACGGTAAACCTATATGACTATATGGTTTCCTGAAGATCTATCCTAGGACCAACCCAGTGACAACCCATCCCGTGAATTTATCAACTGTGAAATGTCGACGAAAATGGACACATGGGTTTGTCTGAAAAAGGCTAGCCAAAAATCCAATGGTTGCTCATGTTTTCTACCATTAATGTGCAATTCAGGCAGTATACACGATTTTTTTTGGCAAGCCTATTGGGGTCCTTACTTTTCATGGTTAAAACATGGTTACCCCCAATGAATTGGCTGGTTCGATCCAATTTTGCCAATGTAAGGCAGAAATCACAAACCATCATAATAAGCCATGATAATTTGGTTTAGATATCCCCAACTACAGGGATATTCCCATTAAAAACCACATGTTTCTTGGTGAAAGCTCGAAAAATCACCGCCCGGACGCCTGGGTTCCAAACATTCTCGCCACTGCCGGGTTTCATCCCATCCGAAGAGCTCCAGTGAGGCACCTGAAAATTTCACTGGTGCTGCTTGGTTATAATATGTTATAATATCACCATTTTTAATGGGTAAATCACAATTTTTTAATGGGTAAATCACCATTTTTAATGGGTAAATCACCATTTTTAATGGAAAATCACTGGTTAACCATGGAAAATCACCCTTGTTCCAATGGGGGTATATTACTATAAATATTGCTGGTTGGTGGTTGACCTACCCCTCTGAAAAATGATGGATTTCGTCAGTTGGGATGATGACATTCCCAATATATGGGAAAATAAAAATCATGTTCCAAACCACCAAACAGATTGTATCATACAATACTAATCACATCACATTATTATGTAATGGATTGTAATGGGCTGGTTGTATACCCTCCCAAAATTAACATAGACACTGATCTTCCAACCGCCACTTGACAGCCTCTAAGTTGATTTCGGTGATTATGATACGATTGGCTTAGCATCAACCGATAGGCTCTGACTTGAATGAGCACTGGTTTTAACCAACTTTTAAAATACGAACACTGGCTTCAACTAGTGGTTCACGATGTTTCACACATCGCTTTTATGTGTGATTCTTTCAATGCTACAAAGATCAATTCATCCGGGAGCAACTAAAACTTGGAGTCTTCGGTGGGGTCTGGAGCTGTTGGAAACTGCCCCCCGGCAGCCCAACCACTTGATTGTTCAAAAGGCCTATGGGTCCTGTGGATACACAACTTATTGGTCGTCATTTTGGAACTATACCATCCTAGATCCTGGGTCCTGCCCCAATTTTCTGCAGCAAACCATGGGTCTTCCTGGGTTTCATGGGAGAAAAACAAGACTCTTCAAAGAATCTTGTGGCAATTAGGCTCTATGTGGCATGGACAAAACAACAAAATATTGAGCATCGGTTTACCACAAATTCTTCAGTACTCTTCTACTATATCTTTGCAATGGACTGTTAAAAATGAATATGAACATCCCTCAACACGGGTGCACTACACCCCAGTTTCGAGCAAATTTTGCAGCTCGAGAATACCACAGGGTGACTGGTTCAGTATTTATCAAGTCACCCAAGTTTTGCCATTCCACTTCTGGCAAGTACATCATCTACATCCATATAGCCCATTGTCTTAAGTAAACCCAATGCCATAAACATTCACATCATTCAAATCAACCTCCACCTGGGGAACAAAACCGTCATCCAACCCATGACACTTTCATCCAACCCACTGCGCCCCCCTTTCTCCGCATCGAAGCGCCAAAAATGTTTTTCGGTCGCCTTCGGCGACGATTTCTTCGATTTCTTCAGGGAATCCACGGGGGGAAATGGCTGCGCCTTGCGCCACCGGAGACCTCGAGTTATGATCCCAGAAATCAATGGGCCAACAGTTTTTTTCAGCAAACTGCTAGGATTTAGATGGATTTAGGGGGTACAAATGGTGAAACAAAATTCCATGAAATTCCCCATGGGAATTCCAGGAAGTATCTGTTTGTGAGAATCTTCGCATTGGCCATTGGTGGTTCGGCACCCAGTCACCCCAGGGTCCCTGGAAATTATCCCAGAGTTGCACTGATGGTGACTCGAAAGTTGGCAAATGTTCAACAATGGTAAAGTAGAAACTCAATGTTTTCTGGTTGGTGGTTGAGCCTACCCCTCTGAAAAAGTATGATTTCGTCAGTTGGGATGATGACATTCCCAACTGAATGGAAAAATAACATTCATGTTCCAAAGCACCAAGCAGTTTTTTTTGCAGTCGAACTTCATTCATATCATCGCAAGCTTTTTAGGTCACCATCACTGCGACAGCAAGTGGCAAGTCATCTTGGAGCTTCCCTATGGGTTCCCAGTATGGCGCCCTCATCGGCTTCGCAACCGTTGAGTTCGCAATCGTCGAGACTCCCATCCTCCCTGGCTTTCAAGAGACACGTCACATTGCGCGACCTCCGTTCCGCTTTGCTTAGCTTGGCTGCAGCAAAAAAACTCTCCAGTTCGTTTTCGGGAATGCCATCAAGAATGGGCTGCGTCGTGATCAAGTCTGACACCCGGTTGCTGGCAGCTGATCGCATTTTTGGGACCGTTTGGGTTTGGTCCAGCATCAGGATCAGAAGGCATTCATTCATGCTGCGCACTTCGCGGTGAAGGGGGAGTCCATGATTGCCCGCGCAAAAAGGACGTTCCATTTCCTACCAAAATTTTCCATGCAAAATATGTAAAACCGTGACATCATGTGACATCCCAAGAAGATGATGGGAATCCATGGGAATCCATGATGATGTCCATTGATTTCGAAAAGTGAAACGCCAAGTGTCCACCGCACCGTAGTTGACGCACCAGAGGCTAAACACATTCAACAGAGTCACCAATGAGGCACTCTCCCACATCTCAAAGACATAAGCTGAACCGACACAAATGCCAGCAGTATACCTCAGAAAAATCCCCATCCCCATCCCACGAGACCAATGACATCCAATGACTCACAGTTTTCTGCAGCGGCTGTAGTTCGATGCTTTCCTGATTATAACTGTTAGATGTTCCATATCAAACTGTGAAAAATTGATAAAATTTGGGGTACCCAAACTTTTTTATCAACGACCTATATTTAGATATATTTAGTGTATCATCTTAAAACTTTAGCCAAAACTTTAGCCATCGATTGCCATGGTGTGTTTTTTGGTATCCGCCATGTGAACCGGTCGACATCGATGATGACGATGAAATCCAAGGGACACGATCAACATCACGGTCAGCAACTGAGCACAGTGGAAGGGGTATGGCAAGTCGTTAATCTTTCCTGGTTGGCGGTTGACCAACCTACCCCTCTGAAAAATATGATGGACTGACTTCGTCAGTTGGGATGATGACATTCCATTCCATTCTCAATCAATATGGAAAGTCATAAAAATCATGTTCCAAAGCAACAATCAGTTTCTGGCATTTTGGATGTTCACGATGCCTCGCGACAATTCCTGGCGCTGAAATGGGGTGTGCCAAGGCACACCTGGAAACAAGACGAACGAGTGTGAAAACCTCCAAAGGATTTAAGCCATTCTTCTAAACAACCAAGCTTTAAGAGATACTCCTCCGCCTTCTTGGTATGTTGTTTTTCAATGTTTTTCATGTATTCCAACCCGCAGAGAAAACATCACCCCGAAAAGGGGGTTCTCATCCCATTTTCCAGCAACATTTCTTTGAGAATAGGGTATCCCTAAATCCAATATCATCAGCATTTTCCTCAGCCAAATGGCCATTATGCCATTGTATATGTGTTTGTTTCCCCCATTTTCAGACCTATACCGGGTATATTGGGTATACCGCTACAACATCTTAAAGTTGACCCAGTTGATTTAACTGATCCGTCATGAAAGGTGCGCGAGAGAATAGGCGCCGGGATGGTCAAAGTTTGATCATAGTGGCCCTGCACAATGGCTCGTTGAATCCATTGCATCAGGATCTCACAGCGAGTGTGGTGACTGTTGTGGAAATCCGTCAGGAGAAAATCCATGGACGCCGGATTCAAACCTCACATCCGGTTTGAAACGGAGATAGAGGGAGAAAAAAAAACAGGGATGAATTGAGTGGCCACATGGTCAGATATGCAGGCTGTTCCGAAATCAACAGGAGTTTCCGCAGTTAAAATATCATCCATCTATAATATGGATTCCATATTCTCTAGTAATCAAACATGGATCAAACATGGCGTGTTGGCAAAATCCCCCCATTTAGAATCTGTTCCCATGAACAAAACCTCTATGGCGGGTTCCTGGAATTTCTCAACCGGAAAGTCATACGAGGAGCTCTTCATATCGATGACCTCAAAGTCATCTTGGTCCGAGACTGAAGTGATCGCGGAACAGAAGAGAAGACTCATCAAGCGGATCAGTAGTCCCTGACTAAAAACGTGCCGGAGCAGAAAAATAGGCTCAAAATGTCTGGCAAAAGTTGGTGATTTTGCAAGAACATGCAAGAACCATATATACAGGACCAAATCCACAGAGCTAAGTCGCTAAGTCTAAGTCGGATCGGCAGAGGTTTTTTCCAGCCTAACCATGGTAGGTGTGCCATACAGATTGGGAATGCAACCAATTTTAGAAGAAGGATAGCCAACCAGATTGGCAATGGATGGCTGGGATGTGACTGATCGACCAGCCAAGAAATGTACCTGGTCATGCCTGCCAGGCCTGTGGTGCGAGTGTTGATTTCTGGTTGGCATGAACTACAGTCAGAGGTAACCTATAACAAGACTAGGGAAAAAAAAAACATGCAAATGACCAACCATAGATGCAACTTCTTGAAGAATCGGCCATGAATTGGCTCCATAAAAGATGGTCCCCCTTTTCCTTGGGATAATCCTCAAAAAGATTTAAGTAACATCCTCCTTAAAAATAGTGATGATATTTTTTTTCATCATGGTTCTAAGTTCTATTTCTGTGGGGGTTACTATGGGTTACTGTAAACATCTATAAACCATCTCAGACCTTCCAATTTCCAGGTGTCAACGGTGTCAACTGAGTCTGTTTCAAGCCCTGTCCTGGAACTGCACCACCTTCTCCTTGTGCTCCGGTTGAGGATTGCAAAAGGCGAAGCAGCTACTGATGGCGTTGAACCATTCACCCCTGGTCTGCTGTAGCAAGGTGGCACCCTCCCAATATCTGGACCATCCCTGGTTGTTTCTGAAGGCCACCATAAAGGCCAGCAGGGAGATAAAGAATCCATAGGCTCCCAGCAGTGTGCCGGCATCGATCCGCTCGATCCCGACTCCCGCCTCGGCGCGCAGGTAGCACAAGCCTCCAGAGACGGCGGCCCAAGGGAGAGCCCAAACCAAGCCTTTGGGCAGGGTGGAGCCTTTCACTTGCCAGAGGAAGCAGATGCCCCAACTTCCATGTTCATAGTGAATCATGGTGCCAAGGGACAACAGTGCCCCAACTGAGCAACAAATGGCGGCAGACCTTTTTCTGAACAAAAGCTTCAAGGTGTGTTGGCCGCTGCCATCAGTCATGCCGCGCTTAAAAATTTTAAACCAAACTGCCGAAGTTCCCCCAAAACGGTCTGCTATTTTTCTTCTGGATTTGGCAGCATCGTACCCCAAACGACCGTTTCCCCCTCAAAAATGAACCAATAACGTTTGCCATTGTTCAATGATTTTCCCATGTTTCCATTATTGTCCCATTTTCCCTTATTTTATCATGTTCCATTGTTTTCCCATTTTCCAACGTGGCAGTGTGTCAAAACCAATAGTAGCCCTTCTGTTCACATCAAAATTTAGCTGGGTTAAAATGGATGTTCATCCCCCTAAAAATGGTATTTTCATAGGTATTGATCCATACCCATATGTATCCATATGTAGTTTCATCCCCTACTTCCACCATTGTTTCTGGGAATGTGGAATATATTACCCTCTGGTAATGTGTTACAAATAGCTATTGAACATGGCCATAGAAATAGTTGATTTCCCAATGATGCCATGGTTGTCCCATTTTGCGGAACACATTCACCTCGTCTCAGCGACGTGATGGCCGGAGCTCCTAGCGAGGGCCCCTGCCGCAGCGCCACACGCTCCGCCACGATCTGACAGGCAAAAGGCCATGGAAAGCTCAAACGCCATGGAAAAATTGAATAGCAATCAGCATATGGATATAACAACAATATGAATGAGATAGAAATGGTTATATATTATGGTGAAATATGGTGAAATATGGTGAAATATGGGGAAATATGGTGAAATATGGTGAAATATGGTGAAATATGGTGAAATATGATGAAATATGGTGAAATATCGTGAAATATCGTGAAATATCGTGAAATATCGTGAAATATCGTGAAATATCAGCATATGAATAACAATATGAATGGGATATGTCATGATATTTCAGCAAAATATCAAGGTATGAACATGATATAACCATTGTAACAATGACTGAACATGGAGGGAAATACCAACCATACTTTGGCGAAACCAATGCCAATGCTGCCAATGCCAACAACGACCATGTGGGTTGATATCTACCACCCATGGTGATACATTGTAATATTGGTTGATAAATGAGGATAATGTGGCAAACCACATATGGATAATGTGGTTGTTATAATAAGTATATTTATGGTTTACCCAAATATTGGCATTTGTGTTTACCAAATTTTGGATGATATAGGTTTATGTTGGGGATCTAACATGATCTAACCGTATACAACTGGGTCCACTAAAATGAGGATCTGTCGCCAAGACGAGGGAACTTCAGTCGACTGAACAAACAAAAAATGGGGATCAGCTCAGCACCTTTCAGCACCACTCCTAGGGGTTGACCATCACCTTCTTGGGGAACCACAAAAAAATGGGACGCTTGGTGCCAAAAGATGACTAGTAAGTCTATGAATGCTTAAACGCAATTGTGCAACAAGTGGGTGAAACCAGCGAATTGTGTACGAATGTACCATCCTAGTGTACTGAATTGAGTTGATCTTTTTCGGTTGCCCGTGTAGAGTGACAAAATGCCAGCACTTGGCCATGTAGAGGTCCCCAGTTGTGGCCTTTCGTCCTTTTTTTTCATCAGCACCCCAAATCACCAGTTGACATCAATGAAACCAATTTCCGGTTGTAACATCCCCAACGTGGGATTCCTGAGTCTATTCATCTATCATTGTCTATCATTGTCCATCACAATCCACCACCATTTGTTCAAAACATCCCCAGCCGAAAAAGTTGGCCACGCTGGAACCCAATCCCTCCACTTCCAATCCCTCGATCTCTGTCGCTGCAGCGCTGCCTGATACCACGAGCCGGTGGAGCCATTGACCTAAGATCGAGCAGAGTCGCCGCGTGCCCTGGAGTCGTACCGTGGCCTCATCTTTTTCGGAAAAGATGTCTGTGAAATTGCCGCAAAAACCACCATCGTTTGGCCATGTTTGGCCCATCCTATTGCCATATAACAAAAAAAAAAAACATCATGAAAGACTCGGGTTTTTCAAGAAACATCGGTTGATTTCATGGCCATCAACTGGTAAAAATATGTGAAAATCGCCCATGAATCCTCCATTTTTCAGGTACCAAACGCCACTTGGAGCTTCGAAGCTAGGAACCCCACGGAACTTTGCTCCGCTGCGGGCCGGAACTTGTCTGGAACCTACAGCAAGTGTCGGCAGCATAGTAAAAGGGCAAGCTGCAGAGCTACCAGACCTGACAAAATATAGGATAACTTCATATAACTTCAGTTCATTTTCATTAATTGTGTGTAGATTCCATAGTAGGACATAGCAAAGTGTTTGATTATCAAATGATCTTCTGTCTATTTAGCACGAAAAACAACACATCAACATCAACCCCAGCCTTCAGAGAGCCCAAACGACAGTCTTTCGCATCCTGCGGAGCTTGGAATCCCTTGGCAGGTCATCCCCAACAATGGGTCTGCGACTCTGCAACAGCTTTAGGATTTGGATATAACATGATATACCCTCTGGAAATTTAACATAGCTATTGAAAATGGCCCATGTATAGCTGATTTTCCCATTAAACATGGTGATTTTCCATAGTTATGTTAGTTTGCCAGAGGGTAACTAGACTAGACCCACCACCTCTGCCACCAGGATGACAGCACCCAACCATCGAATCCCGAAAGCTCCTCCTTCTCCTCCGAAACGTAGCCAGATGCGTCGGGCACAACTTTCAGCACCTCCACACCGTCCACCCTCACGGGGAGATATCCTGAGACTGGGAAATCTGGGCGATGGAAAGTCATCATTGGCAGCTGCCAGGTATGTGCCACATGGATGACCATCATATGGTGGAGGACGGTGGCACAAAATTTACAGAGACCCCACAAGAGTTGGTCAACAGTTTCCAATAAATGAATATAAATATATATATTATAAATGCTGTGTATTTCTCTGTGAATATTATACTAATTATAAAGGATTATATAATATTATATATACTGTATAATATCTTATAATCATAATCATATCTCCATGTATTGATCAATATTGATTAATAGCATACGATTTCCTCACAGGGCATTTTCTTGCTGGTTCCATTGCTGGTTTCATCGCCAGTCTTGTTGCACCAGGCATCTTCCAGGCTTCACTTTCAGCCATTCCCCCGTTTCGTCGAGAGTGCCCCAAATGCTTTTGCCCCACGGCACAGGCTTCAAGGACTGCAGAGATGTCACAGGGCAGGATCTCAACTTCTGCGATTCTCTCTGGTAAACGAACACTTTGCGATGGAAAATTGCCATAGAAAGTTCGTTGACTTACATTTTGACCGTGGCTATGTTAGTTTACCAAAAGGGAATCAATGGATTGGTCTGAAGGGAACATGTTGGGGAGAAACCATGATTTTCTTCCCAGCAATGTTAGAGTTTTCCTGTGAATGTTCCCTTCATCCAGTTATGGGGCTGAAAAGATCCTAGGGAAACAGAGATTGGGCATATCATCACTTTTGAAAAAGGCCTTTTGTTTGAGATATACCATCTGGTTATGACTAATGTAAATATGGGAAATCACCAGTTTTAATAGGTAAATCCTCATAAATCCTCTATAAATGGGCCTTTTTCCATAGCTACGTCAAATAACCAAAGGGTACAAAAAAAAATGACCTGCCAGATCTCTGATAAGAAGCATCACCCAGCCCCCATGCCTGATTCTTTTCGCCATCCGGGGAAGCTCGGTAGCGCAAGCCGGAACTATGAGACATCAGTCGGCCTCAAAGGCAGGCAAACGGCACCAGAAAAGGGGGTCTCTCACCACCAACCTATCCTGGAAATATACCATCTGGTTATTTAACATAGACATGGAAAATCACGATTTTTAATAGGTGAACCATCTATTTCTATGGGCCATCTATACCATGGCTATGTTCGTCATAACCAGAGGGTAAGTCCCTTAGGGCACATCTTGGCATTTTTTGGAAAAACATTGGAGGGTGAAATCATCGGGGATGCCTTTCGAATTCGAGACCCTTGATGGATCCCCAAAATCAGCCGATTTCAACCATCTTCCCACTGAAACCAGACCAGAGCCCAACTTTTCCCAGAACTGAAAACAATCAAACAGGGGTTTCCTGGAATGGGGGTACCCCCATTCCTGGATGCTTTATAAGGGAAAATCATATTAAAATTGATAATCTGGGGGTACCCCCCATTTTAGGAAACCCCCATTTTCATCAGCAGGAGTCTGTTGTCCAGCAAGAAGTTCTGGAGCTCTTGCCGGACCACCGTGTCAATAGGAATGCCAGCCTTGAAGATTTTTCACACCACTGAGGATGACAAGAAAACCAAAGGATTTCCACGGTCGTTGCTCTGGAAAAATAGAAAATTGAATGGCTGGAAAACATGTTCACTTACCGCAGAAAATATGAAAGTGCCCTGGCAGTTTTACCGGACATATGCCGACATAGTGAACTTGTCTGGTTCCTAAGTTCGATTTAAATTCCAGATTTTCCTGAGTCCATTTCAACTTCCTTTTTCCAGCATAGTAACTGTGGCTGTATGAACCATTAGGTTCGACCCATGAAAAGTCGTTCAAAGTTCAACAAGTCATCCCAAGTCAAGTAGAGGACCTGGCAGTTACAAATGTATCAAACCATTCAGGAAAAAAACAACAACTCATTGAAGAATCTCGCATCTGTAGTTCATTTACCATTGAACATGGGTGGCTCAAGCTAGCCATGTTTGATTCCTGGACGGTACGGCCTGGAAAGTCCGGTATTCTCCATATATGTGTTGGTTACGCCGGTTGCGCCCCAATGTTCATTCCTTAAATCATCTTAAATCCATTTGAAACCCTGGTTTTCTGTTGTTTAAACCTAGACTGTGTCGCTTGAACCATCGATTTTCAGTTCAAACCCCCGTTTCTCATGCTTCAAATTCCAGTTTCACCAGGCTTTACCACCGCTTGTGCAGCTAAAAGAACACATTTTTCCAAGTTCCATCATGCTTTACATTGGAAAATAGGGCTATCCTCTGGTAAACTAACATAGCTATTGAAAATGGCCATTGAAATAGTGAGTTTTCCCATTAAACATGGTGATTTTCCATTGTAAAATGTTAGTTTACCAGAGGGTATCTCCATGTTTTTTACTATTGATCGCCATACTTTTCCCATTGACCCATATCGCCCAGCTGCGATGCTCATCGTCTTCGCCTCCCCCTCCGTCGCACGCGCACGCGTCTTCGCCCAGTCCGAAAAGCGCGGCATGGCGTCACAGGCAGCGCCGGGAGGGGAGATCAGCAAAAAACTATCCCAAACATATGGAAAAACATAGTTTTTAATAGGTAAACCATCCATAGATCACCATTTTTAATAGGTAAACTATCGTGTACCATCTGGTTATGACTAACAGTTAGCCATGGTATAGATCCACCATGCTATTAATAGGTAAACCATCTATAAATGGACCATCTATACCATGGCTATGTTAAATAACCAGAGGGTATATCTTACAGGTCATCTGTAATAACTACGTAATAATATATATATATATACATTAGATGTGAGGTGTAAAGCATAGATGTTAAACACACTCGTTCACACCAGGTTCACGCCCGCATATCCTTTTTCCTATTTCCTGTCGCTTCGTCTGGTCTCAACCTGCCTCCAGCAGGATTAATGCTTTGGGTAGCTGTGTAGGTATCCTCCTACACAGCAGCACTGGTTAGATCCATACTCCCTGTTCCGCACTCCTGTCAACCCAGGAGGCTACACAGGGTGAATCTTTCCCACCTAGTGCTCAGTCGTGCAACGACACGTAGAGATCAACATCCGCAATGATGTGATCCCCTACAAGAGAGGATACTCCACAGGAGTCCTATCTCATAGGGAGGGAAGGGAGGGAAAAGAAGAATGATGAAGCCAGTTTGGCTCAGACTTGAGCCAAAATGGATTCATCAACTTACACACTCACCCTAATGATAATGCACACACAGTGCCTGCCAAACACGATGCATACATACATTAGATGTGAGGTGTAAAGCATAGATGTTAAACACACTCGTTCACACCAGGTTCACGCCCGCATATCCTTTTTCCTATTTCCTGTCGCTTCGTCTGGTCTCAACCTGCCTCCAGCAGGATTAATGCTTTGGGTAGCTGTGTAGGTATCCTCCTACACAGCAGCACTGGTTAGATCCATACTCCCTGTTCCGCACTCCTGTCAACCCAGGAGGCTACACAGGGTGAATCTTTCCCAATGCACTTCATTCCTCCCAAAGCACTTAGAGAAACTCCACGACCTGAAGAAACGCAGGAAGTGGTAGAGACCACAGCTCGAAGGGGAAAACTGCGAAATGCGTGGTGAACCCATGGCGCTTGTGCCATGTCGCCTGGAGGCCCTCACGACTGATCTCGTCGGACCAGTTGGCCTTGCTAGGGATCCACTCCCAGAAAAACCAGGCTTGGAGTGCAAAAAGAGTGATATGAATCAGACGAGTCATATGTTCTAAATCTGCATTATCTGAACGACCTCGAATCAGAGCCATCAGCGCTGCGGTATTATCAATGAACCAAAGTCCTCTACGGCCACGAAACGTCGATGGACGGGTGAAGAGCGCATAGAGAACCTGTAACAGCTCCAGTTGGGCAATCTTGGTGTCTCCTGGCTCCCAGAGGTTGTACACCACTGGGGGGATGATCGACACAAAGGCCTCCCGCTGCTCGATGCAGCCATCATGCCAGACGACCAAGAAGCCGCCTGTCCCTTGGCCTGGGATTTCCAAGGCTGCATCTGAGGCTGCAAGAAAGCGTGGCCCTGCATGTGGCCAAATCTCGATTGTCCTGGAGGGTTTGGTAGCAATGACAGCGCGCAACAAATCGAAGCATCGACGCAGTTCCTCAGTGAACTCTGAGGTACGCTCCTGTTGTCGGCGCTTGATTGGGGCTAAGCCTCCGCAACCAATACGCCCCCATACTCCCAACTCGAAGAAATTGGCCACGCCATAGATCTTGGCTGCAACTCCTGGTTGAAGCTTGCTGGAATCCTCAGCGTGCTTCATGAGGTGAAGGAGCTTCTGTTCGATGCGTTCACGGGCCCAGAACTGGATGGTACCTTGGGTGTGAATTTGACTGAAATCATGGTCGAGCCCCAAGAAAGTACCTGATTGCTGCATCCTCTGGCACTTCTCAGCTGAGAAGGGTGTGCCCAAAAGATTGTTGAGAAACTGCATGGCTCGTTGACCTGATCCTTTGCAAGACTTTCTATCCGTGACATGAGCATCATCGAAATACAAGCTGGTCAAACAGAAAGTGAATCGACGTGCCAAAGCTTCCACCAGCCTACTGTAGCGATTGAAAGACGTGACTGCCAAGGGAAGGCCAAAAAGCAAACCAGTGTAAATCATAAAGGCAGGCTTCTGCCATTCATGATGGAAAAAGGCCACAATGCAACACAAAGCTTCGTCCTTGCTCATGGGGCAAAATCTGTAAGCATCCGGCCAGTCCTCACCGCCCGATTCCCATTCTTCTGTGTCCCAGATGGGGAGGGCTCCATATGTGCAGGCATATTGTAGATGCTGAGCCGGTCGAAGGGCTGAGCAAAGGGTGAGCTTGTTGGCATCGCTGGAACGCTCAGACTGCAGGCCTACATAGGCATCGTCAATCACCCGTTGCTTCCCCGAGGATTGTGTGATCACACATCGAGGAATCAACCGATAAGGCTCTGCACCCAGTAAACTATGCAGTTCCTCTGCATCCATCGGCAAGCTGCAAAAGCCTTTCTCGGCATCCTTGAGGCTCTGTTGTAACATGAATTCATCATCATTGCCAGGCCTCAAACGAGTCAGGATCCACCTGTTGTGGGTCCTCCAGTCATGAAGTACATCCTCCCGTGTCAAGCGGGATGCCTCCTGCTCTGGGAATATGCCATAGGGGGGTGCGTATCCCACCGCTGGGAGCCCCATGCAGAGGCCAGCCGGCAGCGTCACGTCGCCCCAGTTGGCTAAAAGCAGCAGGATGGCTGTGAAGCCAATGTCTCTTTGTGCTGTGGCCGTCCGAATTGCCTCAGTCTGTTTGGTCCTCAAATGTTCCGTGATCTTGCTCCAGCGCCTCTTCATCTCGGCTAAAAGGCCCATGGCTCGTTTTCTCAGCTTGCTCAGGTCGACTCCTGGCATGCCTGAGAAGGAAGCCGCAAAGCGAAGGTCATCATCCAACACCGGAAGGCCTTCTGTAGGCAAAGGTTGTACACTCAGTTGCAAAGCTCGCTCAAAATGCTGGTCTGGTTGAAGATGGAACGGCAAGAGGGGTGCCAGCGCTGCCCTATGGTTGATGGCCCCCACCTGCTGGCCCTCAGCTGTCCGCATCTTCTGCCGCACGGAAGGGGCTGCCAACACTGGGTTCCAACTGCCTTCCATGTCAAGCCCCTGTTGGTGCCTCCATCGAGTGTACAGGTCAAGCGGGTGCTGGTTCACCAGGTCCTCGACAAATGGGATGGCAAGCCCTTCCAACCAGTCGCCTGGGTAGAGCTTCTTGAACGCCAGCGCCAGTGACTCCTGCAGGATGTAGAAAGGCCCAAAAGGGATGCCTGTTGCTTTGGCCATGCTCGACAAGAGAACACTGCGTGTCACCGCTGTGTGGCTCCTGCCATTCGATCCTTGGACAACTTGTGGGGCTACTTGATGGCGATGCAAGCTAAGCCGGTCAAACACAAGCCCTGCCAAGAGGTCAGCCTCGCAAGTTTGTGCTGCTGGGCAATCACACACCAAAACCTTGCCTTCCAACTCTTCAAGTTCCTGCCATAGCGTCTCTCTGACGTACTGAACAAAGAGTGGAATCCAATCTTGTGGTGTGCAATTCACCCCAACTTGCCAAGGGGATTTCCACTTCGTGGTCTGGAGCCGGTGAGCGTGGTTACCCATACCCACATAGACATGCCCCAGGGGTAACTCGCCCTGCTGCAACACCTCATCGACACAGGCCCGGGTTGGCACACGAGCCGCTTCCGATGTGTCCACCGGCCTCAAGCCCAGACTGATTGCCAAAGGAGTCATAGCCCATTCTCGGAGGGACCTGGGGTCCAAGTCGAGCCAATGATCCCTGTGACCGGTACAGCTAGGGGATGGCGAACGCGGCACATACAATTTGGCATGACCAACACGCACCGCCCACCATGACGCCGCTGTAGCGATCGCAAAGCAAAGTTCTGCTGTGCACTCGGACTCCTCAGCGGATGGGTAGTGCCGTTGGCCGTCTTGGATCCATGGCTCCCATTCCTGTGGGTCATGAAAATGGTTGCAGTCAGCCCTGGGCCATTGTGCAATTTCTGCAATGTTGTGCCTCAGGCGTTGCAACTTCGCCCTGGCACCTCCAAAGCAACATGCTGAATACCGCTGGTCTGACCACCGACCACTGTCCCACATGCTGACTTCATCCGGCGTCCACCAATGAAGGCTGTTGTATGGGTTCTCCCGGACAGAGCCACCCCCTCGATCTACCAACTGGTCAATCTCAGAAAGGACAAAGCTGGCAGCCGCGTTGTCCTTCTCCACCCTACTAGACTGGGACCCTGTCAACTCAGGAAGCCCCAGCGGGTGTTGTTCCGATCGCAAGGGTCGGGGTGGTGGCCTACTATCCCCAAAATCTCGGGGGATCTCTCTAGCCCGGCTCTTTGTAGAACAATCCAGGGCAGCTGCAATGAAACAAACTGATTGCAACTGATCATGCAATGATTGCTGCCTGAGGCTGTTGGATAGGTCATGACCCCGGTCAAGCATCCAATCCACTGAGATAGTTTCCCAACCACAGAAGATGAACGCTTTCGACAAGGGTACGTTGGGCCCCGCATAAAGATCTGCCATCCGCGGCAGCTGACAGTCAACTCTGTCTACGGGTGTTGCCTCTTCCTGCCCGGCAGAAGTCCCCGCCTCCTCTGCTGGGCACCGTCATGGCGATACCTTGGCCCTGCACTGGCCAGCACCATGCCCCGGCATACCACAGACTCGCTCCCCCCGGACAACTGCACCACACTTGTGCTGTCCTTGAGGACAGGAGCCTTTGGGGTTCTTGCACTGCACATGTTGGAAAGCCTGGCAGATCTTCGTGCCATCCCTCATGGTCTTAGCGACCTTATTCCCGTTCACCGCCTTCCCCAGAGTGAACTGAGAGGGCATCGGGGTCGTGGATGAGGGTGTTGGAGTGGTCTTGCCTGCTTCCGCCCTGGTACCTCCAGAGACAGCATGCGGCATCCAATGGGCATCTCGCGCCTGGCA